CTTTCTTCCTCCGGTGGCTAATGCTATTTTTTATTTTTTTTCAAAAAATGTTTGCCGAGTATTTTTGGGGCACTCGGCAAAGTCTTCGCTGAGTGCCCGATGAAAAACACTCGGCAAAACAACGTTTGCCGATAAACCAGTTACCGAGTGTCGTTTGCCGAGTGTAATACTCGACAAATGATTTGCCTAGTGTTTTTGGGGCTTCGCCGAGTGCCCCTGGCACTCAGCAAAATTCCTGAATCCGGTAGTGTCTTGTGGGCTGGGCCACCTCGGATGGTGCGGCCCATGTCTTGTCTTATAGATATCGGGGGTCATATCCCCCACAGCTAGTCCCCAAGCACCTTGTATCCTTTGAGCAACGCTGTCTTAAACAAGTCCAGGCACTTTGACATGAAGCCGATCAGTTTAACTGGTGATCCGAGCAATGGAAGTCGAAACCGACCAGTTCAACTAGTGACCTGGACGGTGAAGGTCGAAACGAACCAATTTAACTGGTGACCTAGCCGGTGAAGGTCGAAGCCAACCAGTTTAACTGGTGACTTGGGCGGTGAAGGTCGAAGCCGACCAGTTTAACTAGTGACCTAGGCGGTGAAAGTCAATGCCGACCAGTTTAACTGGTGACCTGGGCGGTGAAAGTCAATGCCCGACTAGTTTAACTGGTTTGGAGACCTTGGATTTAGCCAAGTAAGGCTTGCTAGAAGGATGTAAGGGGCTCAAGATAAAATTTGAAGATTCTTCCACTTAGGAGAAGTGTACCCACTTAGACTCCATCAATAAGGAGGGTAAATCAAGAAATAAGCACTACATTTACCGCCAGGTGAAGTATAGCAACTTAGTCCCCGAACCTACTGGAAGATGAAGAATGAATCTTGTAGCAGGGTCAAAGAAAAGAAGTCTAAAAGCTTGCCAAAGTCATCTGACATGTGCGTATCAAGACCCCAGATGTGCTGCCCAAGATCAGCACCCTGATTCAAACAGCATGGAGCAGCTTGATAGCACACAGATGAGACGTAGCAAGATCCGACCACCAAGGGAGTCCTCAGCTTAGCTGGCGATGCTTGCACGAAGAATCCGAACACTGAGGAGTCTCTAGCGTAGCTGGCGATGTCCGAGCGCTGAGGAGTCCCCGGTGTTGCTAGCGATGTCCGAACACCGAGAAGTCCCAAGCGTAGCTAGCGATGTTCGGGCACCGAGGAGCCCCCGGCGTAGCTAGCGATGTCCGAGCACCGAGGAGTCCCCAATGTAGCTGGCGATTTCTGAGCACCGAGGAGTCTCTAGCATAGCTGGTGATTTCCGAGCACCGAGGAGTCCCCGCCGTAGCTGGCGATTTCTGAGCACCGAGGAGTCCCCGTTGATTTCTGAGTACCGAGAAGTCCCCGGCGTAGCTAGCGATGCCCGAGCACCGAGGAGTCCCCGGCGTAGCTGGCAATTTCCGAGCACCAAGGAGTCCCCGGCGTAGCTGGCGATGTCCGAGCATCGAAGACTCCCCAGCTTAGCTGGTAAGGCCCCAGTGTAGCTGATGATGAAGCATGAGCGACGAACAGTCCGGTCAACTGGTCAATGGCGAAGTGAGCATTGAGTAGAAGTGATCGGCGAACAGTCCGATCAACTGATCGGCGATAAAGTCCATGAACCTAGTGGTCCGACCAGTTGATCGATGGAGAAGTCTGAGCACCAGGTGGTCCGATCACCTAGACGATGATCCTGCAAAACAAATATGTAGAACGGGTAGTACATGATGTAAAAATATATGAACTCTAGAGAAGAATCAGCAATGGTGATGAAATAGCGTATGCAGCTCGGCGATCAGTTGGTGTGAAAACTTAGTGTTATTATAAAGATGTATTTATATTTAATATAAACTGCCCGACCAGTTAGTGTGTAGCTGAGTCTCTAGCCCGAGCTAGCCCGTTAACAATAATGCGGAGCCCGTGTGCGTCGCTAAGGAGCCACTGCCGACCATCCATAACACAGAGGGTAGACGCTCATGCACGTGTAGAGAGGAGCCAGAGACAGGGCCATCTCTAGGAACATCCGAGCGTCAACGTGACTGTTCAGGGGTTGAGAAAATTGTTTAGAGAACAAACATGGAGAAAATAGCTCGGAGAAACATTATAGCGGTATACGGAGATCGGAGAATATTCAGAAGAATATTAAAGCGCGACTTAGCTTTAGATAGAAAGTCTGGTCGACGACGTATGGCGTTATCTGGTCGGCGATGCGGGCAGCTCGCTTGACGGCTGGAACAAAGTTGATCTCGTGTTGGAGTAGGATGGACGTAGTCGGAGCTTAGCGGTGTCAATTCGTGTACGAAGACGTATGCCGTGATTGTCGAAGGATGTCGACGTGATCCGCCGAGTTGCCGCGAAGGATCTTGATCTTGAGTTACGCCATCTGGTTCGCTAGGGATCAGCGCGCGTGAGCCCCACGGTGGGCGCCAACTATCGACAAAAGATGCTCGGCAGTCCTCTGAGGGGTATCCCACAAAGGTAGATTGATTGATGGAGGTGCACGTGATAGGAACCAGATGGTGACATAAGGCGTAGAGACAGCGATTTAGATAGGTTCGGACTGTCTAATCGACGTAAAAATACCCTACGTCATGTGTCTTTGTTGTATTGTATTGAATATGAGATGTATGTAGATCGATGTCCACTAGGGGACCCCTGCCTCTCCTTATATACTCCGGATGGGTAGGGTTACAAGAAAAGTATCATATTTGGTACTATACAATATCTTACGGTGCACGTCGACCAGTGCCATGCACGCCTTGATCTTTTGGGCTGGGCCACCTCTGATGGTACAACACATGTCTTGTCTTATGGATACCATGGGTTATATCCCCCATAATGCCCCTCCACGGCTAGGCAGAGGCAGGCCAGCACCGGATCTGGTGGAGGGGCACTTATGGCCTCCGCTGGATCGATCACGCTTCGCAAGGGCCACCACCACCTAGGGTTGCGCGCCGTCGCCTCCATCCACCTGGGGCTGCGCGTCGCCTCCTCCGTCCGCCATGTGTTGGAGACATGCAGGAGCTCGCACCAACAGAGTTCGGGTGATGGGGAAGAAGGTGGAGGAGGATGTCGATGGTGGTGAGGTGAGGGCCGAGCGCCGCGGCCAGGAGAGAGGCATAGGGAGAGTGACAGTGGAGAGAAACGAAAGGGCTTCTCCTAGTGTGGAGACTATATATGCTAGGGTTTGCCAAGAGGTGTTTTTTCAGCCGTCTGATCCTAAATCTTGCGGCTGTGAGTGACTAGGCCGAGATAGGCCGACTGTGCTTTAGAATATATACTCAGAGTCATTTGTGGGGGCGGCTCTAAAGACCAGCCACCCCTACAAATGTATTTGTAGATGCGGTTTCTGATTCAGCCACCTCTACAAATATTTTCACATATTTTTAAATATTACTTCTGCATCATATTTTTTATAAATGTGTAAATATATATATAAATGTATAAATGTAATAAAAATAATTTGCTATATTTTCCCGTACACATAAAAAATTACTTGCTTATATATATATAGATATAATGATACATTTTATTTTGTAAAATAAAAAATATATTTAAAAAATTTAAAATTTGAATTTGTGAACTTCGAATTGAATTTTAAGATAAAAAATGATCTAAAATAAAAATGTTGTAAACATCAAAGTTGTAGAACTCATCAAGATGTACAACTTATATTTTGGTCATCTTTTCATTTGATAAAATTTGAAAAGTTTAAATTTTGAATTTCAATAAATGACAACTTCAAACAAGATTTTGAAAACTTAAATCATTCCAAATAAGAAAGTCATGAACATAAAAGTTGTTGAACACATCACTATCTACAACTTTTATTTTGATCATCTTTTCATTTGACAAAATTTGAATAGTTTAAAATTTGAAATTCAATAAATGGCAACTTCAAACAAGATTTTAAAACCTTAAATGATTTCAAATAAGAAAGTCATGAACATAAAAGTTGTTGAACATATCACTATATACAACTTTTATTTTGGTCATCTTTTCATTTAACAAAATTTGAACAGTTTAAATTTTTAATTTCAATAAATAGCAACTTCAAACCAGATTTTGAAACCTTAAATGATTTCAACTACAAAAGTCGTGAACATAAAAGTTGTTGAACTCATCACTATATACAACTTTTATTTTGGTCACTTCTTCATTTGACAAAGTGTTAGTAAATATTTTTCATAAATTCACATATCACTTATAGTTTCATGAACTATATGAGAGACATGTTGATTTGTGAACAATGTTTACTATCACTTTGTCAGATGAAGAAATAACCAAAATAAAAATTATAAATCTTAATGAGTTATACATCTTTGGTATTCATCACTTTTTCTGCTGAAATTATTTGGTGTTTCAAAATCTTGTTAGAACTTGTCTATTTTTTAATTTGAATTGCTCAAACTTTGTCAAACGAAAAGAATGACCAAATCAACACACTAATTTGATAGGGCATGATTTTAGAAAATTTTAGAAAAAAATCATCACATTTGGAGTTAGTATGAGGGAAAAAACTAGTTATTAATTTTACCTCGAGATTAAAAAGAAAAATCACAACTGTTCATGATGATCAATGATGAACAAATGTGATTTGTAGGGGCAGCTGGTGATTGAGCCACCCCTACAAATCGCAACACCGGGAGCGGCTGGTGAGTGAGCCGCCCCTACAAATAGACCCATTTGTAGGGGTAGCTCGTATCATCAGCCGCCCCTACTGTGCCATTTATAGGGGCGGCTGGTCTCGTGGATCCCGAGCATACCCATTGTAGGGGCGGCTCTATCACCAGCTGCTCCTAAAAAAATTATCCCGTTGCTACAAACATTTTTTTTAGTAGTGGCTGCTGCCGCCACCACTGCCACCACGCACCTCCGGTTCTACATGGACGACATCGTGACGGCAACAGCAGGGAGCCCGGCAACGGGGTTGTGTGTGGCGAGGGGCACGATGCCGCAGCCAGGAGACCCAACGTGCGCTTCGGCGACATGCACATGATCGACGACCCACTGACGGAGGGTTCCGACGTGGCGTCGCCGGCAGTGGGGCGCGGGCAAGGGTTCTACCCCTTCGCGGAGCAGCAGGAGCTGGCGGTGATACTCTCCCTCAACATAGTGTTCACGGCGGGTAAGCACAACGGCAGCTACTTCGTCGTCCAGGCAAAGGACGCCTTCTTTGACGAGGTCAGGGAGCTGGCGGTCATTGGCGGAGCAGGCAGGTTCCGTGGAGCCACCGGTTACGGTCTGCTCAGGACGCACTCCTTCGACTCTTGCACCAAGAACGCCGTGGTCATGATCGACATGTACCTGCAATTGTTCCAGGGATCATGTCAATTCACCTGTGAATCGAACTTTGTTCCAGGGACATGTGCTGCTCTAACTCATATGGACACCAAAAGTTTAGAGATTTATCAATGATCATGTTATGTGTTTTAATTTGCTTTAGGATCAGACTGCACATGCCTCAACATTTAACTTGTATGGATCATGAAAACACTTTGTGTTACAACTCATTTTCGAATCAGACTCTGCATCATGATTAGACACAGTACTCTAACTTGTACAGACATAGGAGAGATCGAGTCCTTCAGATCCCTATTAGATGGCCGGCTATGAGCAATGAAAGATAAAGAAACATTTTGCTTTATAATATTATATTAGATAGACTAGTCCATCAACCAGAGCAGAGACTATGATCTTAGAGAATAACCTTAAAGTATAGTAAAAAGTTATAAATGGATTCTAGGATGATTAAGAGAGAAGAGAAGTGGACTATGAGTTTACAACTAGTTGATGCACGAGTTTTAAAAAAGAGAAGAAAAAAAGCAAACTATGTATTAATGATAAAATATGATCTAATAGCCAACTACTATATGGCTAGGCTGATAGCCAACAACAGTTTGTATTATTAGCCACGCTCTTAGTATACAGTTGACTAGTTCGTTGCAGCATCAGCACCGATCATTTCCTTCTTGATGTTCTCGTGTCCTTCATCAGTTTGAGGTGATCATATTGATCACCTGCATCGTTTGTCCACCGCTTGGCAAGTGTTATACTCGCCACAATGCAAGTCAGGCAACTAATCACAACCAAATCTCGCCACAATGCATCAGGGATGTGAGAACTGAGTCCTGAATTAAGTATTATTCTCTTTGGTTGAGCAGAATTTATAGACCAACCTGCAGTACAAGTACAAAACGGAGGTTGGTGTTCGCTGTGCAGCGTACATCCAAACGAATTTCGAAGGAATTTTCAGAAGCCATTTCTTGATCCCAAAGGTTTCTGTTGGGGTTTTTCTATACGAAAAATCTGTAGCTCACTCGAGTGATTCTGTTGGCTGCGTCGCTCTATTTTGCAGCTGTTGGATACTGTCGTGGTTTGATCTGGTGCGTCAGTCTCTTTTGTGTCTGTTTGGCTCGCTGTTTTGTGGGTCCCGTGTGTCAGCCTGTACTGTTTGGTTTTTTGAGAACGCGCCTTTATTCTCTCCTTTGGATTGGAATGGTTGCGTCCGCTGCTTCATTTCTTTCCGTTTCGTTTTCTCGTCTGGGTCTAGGGTTTGCAGAGGCGACGCAAAAGTGACTCCGGACGACGAGGTAGGGTTCGTGTTTTCTTCTTGGATTCCTCCCATTTCCTCCGTTGATCTGGTCAAGTTAGTTGTATGGTGATGTAATCTGACTGTGGGGGTCGACCGGTTCGATACATCCATAATAGCGAGCTATGGGCCATATTCAACTAGCTAGTAAACCTTCTTAAGATCAGACATGCCTTGACCGCGTACTATGCACGACCAAGATCAAAGCAGAACGGCCGATGAAACACAATCAGTCATTTAAAGTAAGAATCATCGCAATGTAACAAAATAAACGATGGATTAAAAGGATGTGAGGCCGATCTAGATCAATCTCGATTGGGCAGGTTGATATTGCTGTAAGAACATCAGTAAGATCGGTAACATAATGAATCTACTAGAAGGATGCCACCCTTAGGTAGAGCCGATAACTTGACCTTAATCTAATTCAAGCAGTGGAGGTCGAACTTAACCGATGCAGCCGTACTTGAACTAGATAAGAATCGATAACAAGCTTATGCTAGAGCTCGCAGTGGAGGTCGAACTTAACCGATGCAGCATTACGAACAGAAGTATAAGCCATGACGGTACTTACAAACAAGCCGGAGGTCGGCCGGACCGATGCAGCCCTGCTTGTTGAAGAACTCACCGAGATCTACACTACTCCTACTCCTAAGGGTTGACGTGAAGCCGAAAAAAGTAATTGGTATTGATTGATTGGATGTTTTTTACAATAGCCGGGGTCTAATATTTATACCCGGAATTTAAGCATAAATCATACTCAAGTACGACTCCTTACAATCTTTGGTATAAAAGAAAATATTCCTAACTTAAGATAACTTGGACCCTAATCTTTTCCTTTTTGTAGAGTCCAACATGTCTTTCCGACGCCAGCCATAGCTCGTTGGCATTATCTACTGATGTCATCCGAAGAGAGCCGATCCTAGTGCTGCATCTGAATCAGCTGATATTGATCCTTATGCAATCGATTCCTTGATGACTCAATCTTGGAAGCTTCGAGTTCCCACATTCTTCTTCCCAAATTTTAGTGCAAACACATGCCCCCCAATTTTGGGATAAAATAATTTTATTCCAAAATTTCTATTTACCTGTTCACCATGCTGCAACCATTTATTCTGACACATACACGTGACTCCTGACTTCTCGGTCCGAGTTTTATATAATATCCCAATAGTATCATTTCCAACTTACTTGGCCCATTTGCTTTCCCCTTCTTTCTCGAGCAAATCTTAACGACGCCGACGCGCCGCCATCGCCAAAGCCTCAACCCTAGCAAATCCTCTGCCCTATCAAACTTTTATTCTAGCGATCTTCCTTAGATTCAAATCTATTTCGGCTGTAATGGCGACCAGCGACCACGTCCCTGAGGTATGCTTTCAAGTACCCATTCTCCAAGTATCGGCCGCTACCCTACATTTCCTTTCTTCTCAAATTTATTTTATCTGCTTTCTAGGAAATGAGGAACAAATTCTTGATTCCATCGGCTGTTGCTCCCAATGTCTATTTTCTTGAGCCTCTGGGTGACCCTGATCTATCTGACTTTATCCATCAAGAAACCAACCAAATCTCCTTCAAACAATCTATAGTGAATTTGTCCTCGTGGAACACCAAAACTTCCTTTAAACCGGCTCAAAATGCCTAGGGATGGAGAGACCGGTTTCGTGAGGGTATCCGAAAAAAAAATTTGGAGATTGGGAGATTTATGACTTGAATCAATGCTTGACACTCTCGTTGTCTGGAATGGAGAGGGATGATTCACTCCTGATTTCTGCATCTTATTTCTGGCCTAACACCCTGAATGCTTTCGTTTTTAGTCAAGGCCCAATGACCATCACTTTGGTGATGTTTATATGTTGACCAAAGCTTAGAATAAACGGATCAATGCTGCCTTATGATTACTTAAGTGCTGGTTCCAAGAAATTAGCCAAAATATCAGACTGCACAGGATGGGCAAGCTACATTCTGAACCATATTAGAGACGAATCAACTATTAGCGAAAGAGAATATGTGGCTTTTCTGAATATGTGGCTAGAAAGATTCATCTTCTGCGGGTCATCTTGTAGTTCAACTTATAATCATAAACTCATGGCAGAGCATCTAGCAGTAGGTGTTGAGATTCCTCTTGGTAAATATCTATTGGGACCAGCTTACCATTTGATGCATCAGGTGGCCGCTCAGTTGCTGAAGAATGAAGCGGTGCACACCATCAGCGGCTCTTGGTGGCTAATACAAATGTGGTTAAACTTGTATATGCATAAGATTGTAAGGCCAAATCTCTAGAATTTGAGCTTTCCCTCCTCCAACTTTGATGAGGAATACAGAGGCAAAGAAGGAACAACCCATCAGTGCATGAACTATGGTAAAGCCGCATTGGCCATAACAATTGCTGTCAATGTTGGCCATCTCTTCAAGAAGTTTTATAGAGGATTTGATGCAAATATCCTGACTTGGCTACCCTATGATGAGGATGAGAACAATAAGTTGGTCTTCCCATTCAAATTTTGATTTGAATCAGGCTGTTCAGACGAAATGGCGGCTGCAATCTTCAATTCCTTCATCAAACCTTGTGTTCTTCCAGCCAAATTCCATCATGGCCGCTGCAAAATATCTACAGGTTCCTTCCTTCCAGGCAACCTTCCAACCTATGAGTTTTACAACACTTCTTTTGTAGCTCGTCAGTTTGTTCTTGGTCAATTGCCTCCTCAACTGTTCTTCAAGAATATACTGAAGCCAAGAGAAGGTATTAGTGAAGTAATGGATGCCTCCAGAGTCTTTCAACTATAATTAGATCTTTCTTCCTTTTGCTTGCATGACTGGACAAGAGTCAACTTCTCTTTCAACCTTTTTGACTCCTGGTGGCAAGAATGGCACTCACATCTCTTTTGTGGGTCGGTCCATCCTAGATGTATAGCTCTGGATGGAGAGTTTGCTTCCGACAGTGATGTAACTTACCATTCATTTTTTAGAAAAATTATTCGATGAATTCCCTTGTCAATTGTTCTAAAGACCTTTTCAGGACACCGAATTCGATCCCCCAAGTTTGGACAGGAAGAGGCACCCTATAGATTAGCAGCCACCATGTCCAGCCTCAAGAATCGGATTAACTGCACCTCCACTGAAGAAGCTGATGAAAACTCATGCTGCCTCTACAATTGTAACGTATCAATCTTCAAAACACAAGGCGGCCCAAAGGACAACCTAGAAAACCGTTATTGGGAAAAGACTTCGTAGAACGAGACCATCAACTACCCAGGTAAAACAATAACTCCTCTTCTCAAAATGATATTCAACTTCTAATCTCATTCCTTTCTTCATAGTTATCAACCATTGCATCCCAATTTGCTCTTGGTACTGAACTATTGTCCAAAGCATTTAAATCAGCACCAACCAAACCTTTATCGGCCGATCCTCAAAGGAGCCGATTTTGGTTGAAACAACCGATGCTTCCAAGACAGCAGAAGATGTGAGTCCTTCCATTTTGTCCCCCGATGCTGCCAAGGTATTTTCTCAAAATTCTTGATTTTTATTCAGTTTTCACCCATCTCTGATCATTTAACATGCCAAACACTCCTTGAGGAAACATTCAAGCAAGGGCAGGAGTCTGGCAGTCTACCCATTGAAGGTGATCCTGTTGATGTTGTCACCCAGACTGTCGAATCTCCAGTCCAACAAACAATGATGGTAAGAAAGCCATATGTTTAGTTTATCTTTCTGCAACAAATATGAACTAAAAATCTTTCTTGATGTTTGTAGATA